TCAAATACCCAGAAATGATAAAAATTTGTTTTTTTAAGAATAACCATGAAATGTTGAATAATTTTGTTAATTAAAATACGAAGCCACGTTTGAGTTTTGTTCGCTTTTGAAATTTCGCCTTTCGTGCAGTTACAAAGAGAAGGCGGAGAATGTTTGTAGAAGATGACCTCTCTCGCTTACGTTATTCAGGCATCACGTGAATTCCTGTCACGAAAACAGTGACCGAAGACTTCCGGTCTTGCAAGGACGTCTACCGTATATTATGCAATCATCTCGAGCTTCTTTGTGACAATTCCATAAAAGATGCATTGTAAACGAACCGGGTATTTTCTCTCCTTTTGAACGTGTGTCGAACCGTAGTCGGATTAACATAATAATGTCTAACTTTGAAGAATTAAGTTCCCTTTTTAACGAATTGCGTTTTGAAAGGTTCAAAGCTAAGAAGCTTTGAATGAGAGCGCTTTTCACATATTGGCGTACGCTACAAAACCATTTCGTTGCTCCAAAACCATTCAGCTATGCACAATTTCTTTATGAAAGGGCTAATTAATTTATTTATTACTTCGTTCGACTGTTCACCTCTCGGGAACTCGATCGACGTAATAAAATGGCAGCTTGATTAATTAATCATCGACTTCTGATGAGTTCCAATCGAATTTATTGTCTCAGCCTTGTTATAAATCGAATTTCTTACACTGAACTTTGCTAACCATTAGAAACTTCAATTCACCTCACAAGTTTCATTTACCAACTCATTTTAATTGTTCTTATAAAATGACATCCCCCAAAAATTGATCTTTTCATGAAACTGCACAAAAATGGCCAAGTTTGAGTTGCCTAGTCTTTGTAATTAATGAAACAAAATATATTCCTGTGGAAACCATTTTAGATTATGTCTGAAATGAAAGAATGAGATCAATTTTCATATAATTTCAATGGCTAATAAATATTGTTAATGTAGCTCTGTTGATTTTACAGATTCGGTGTACGATGTACCTACCCTGATCCTAGTGCTGCTCAGCATTCTCTATGGAACAATCTCTGTTTTAGCAGTACTGGGAAATTCTCTTGTCATATGGATAATAGTAACCTCGAAACGCATGCATAATGTAACCAATTATTACATAGCGAATCTAGCGTTAGCAGACATCGTTATTGGCCTATTTGCCATTCCCTTTCAGGTACATACGACATAGTGATTAAGTCTTAGACAATACTAAATAGACTGCAGTTTTTTATGGCAATCATTTAAAAAAAAAAAAAGTGCATTCCAATGTTTATATCTTTTGCAAATTTAATTTCTGTACAAAAACAATGCATAAAACAAGAATTATCTCAAAACGTAATTTCCTTTTTGCGTTCAAGTTTCAAGCAGCCTTGTTGCAAAGATGGAACCTGCCACACTTTATGTGCGCCTTCTGCCCGTTTGTGCAAATCCTCTCTGTGAACGTCTCGGTGTTTACCTTAACAGCGATTGCAATCGACCGACATCGAGCAATATTGAAACCCCTCAGGCATGTAATTTTCGTTTTGCGTTTCTTGGACGGTGCCATCAAGTATGAAAGTGTTAATTATTTTTCGACAGTGTGAGACCTAGCAAACTGACGGCTAAAATAGTGATCGCTGGAATCTGGCTCGTGGCGATGGTCCTGGCGACGCCAATGGCAGTGGCACGTAGGGTCATTATGGTCCCAGGTAAGCCCTAATGGGAATTGCTCGACTAATCGCTCTTGTTCCTAATCAATCCTTTCATCCTGCGGAAGGTACAGTAATCTCTAAATATACCTCCATTTACCCGGAGATTATTCATGCAATGTAATGAATGTGGAGTCTTTTTGTTAGAAGGACTTATTTGGTCCCCAACAGATATAGACAAACTGAAGCCGTTCTGCCAAGCTGTGAATCTGTCCAGTAGAACGATGCTAATTTACTCGATGCTCCTGGCGTTTCTGCAATACTTAACACCGTTATCAATTATTTTCTGCGTGTACACAAGAATGGCCCTAAAGCTGTGGGGCAACAGGGCGCCCGGGAACGCAGAGGATTTCCGTGACGCGAATTTCATGAGAAATAAAATTCGAGTATGAAGACGTCTTAACAATTCGAATCAGTTCTTCATTTGTACAATTAATATGAATTTGTTTATTTAATCTACAGGTGATCAAAATGCTGATCATAGTCGTGGTGCTTTTCACTGTTTGCTGGCTGCCACTTCAAACCTACAACGTTCTCCAATATTTTTACCCAGAAATCAACGAGTAAGTGGTTTTGTTTTATAAATAATGTTGCATTATGTAAAGCAAATCTCTGTGACACCCAAAGAAGAATTTTAATTAATTAATTAATTAATTCTAATCTCTGTTTTAGATACAAATATATACATTATATATTTTTCTTCTCCGACTGGCTAGCCATGTCGAACAGTTGCTACAACCCATTCATCTACGGGATTTACAACGTAAGCATCGATCTATATTAATTAATTAATTAATATTTCGAGTCACGTCTGACGTTATGTCAATTTTCAGGAGAATTTCAGGAGAGAGTTTCAAGGAAGGTGTTCCTGTAAATCTCGAAGATGGTCAGGCGGCCCGTCGAACGATACCACAGATGCCCCAAGCACCAAATGCTCCGTTAGGTACAACTCGTTGTTTAACAATTATAACAAAAACTATGAAAAACAATTTTTGTGTTTTTAGGTATGAATGGAAGCGATCGACTTCCAGTTCCTATCCTAGCGTGTCGTCGCTTTATAAGGGTGCGTCGATGAAAGGGTCGTTCGTCAACGGTCGTAAATCTAACGACCGGAACAAGAATAAAGGACTCGGTCATTATATTCGTCGGGGGAATCATTGCTCGAACGGAAGCGAAGAATTGTACGTCCTCCCATCGGGGAAGCATAAACGTTCGGAGAACTTCGGATCCGAAGAAATGGGTCTTTAATCGAGAATTTCATTTACATTACGAGAATCAAACTCTGCTCAATATTTCCAATATCCGGGATAGACATGCGCGTCGTGCGTACGAACGAAGGTAAGGAAGATATCTTTTTTTCATTAATATTTCAATGACGCGAACAAACCCTAATTCAATTTGGTTTTTCGAACAGACTTATCGAACTTCACAAAATGTTCAAGGCTGTGAAACTTTTATTACAATAAATAATGGTTTTTTATTAACGTTAAGCATCCTGTTTGTGAAACTTTTCACTATAAACATAAATCTAGTTAATTAATTTATATGGAAGTTCAATTATGTATAAATTGTTATAATATTGGGTTGGCAATTAAATAATTGCAGAGTTTTTATTTAAAATCTACAATCACTTATATAGTTGCCAACCTAATTGATAAACAAGACGTCTAACATATTCTCGTTTAAGCAATTTAAATAAAATTACGTTCAAAACTTGAAGAGTCAGAGTTATCCACTTTTTTTTTATAGTAGAATCGTTGTTGACACACAATTCGTCCGATTAACTACGGACTAGAACGTAAGCGTAGCGTGTTATGCAGGGTACTAATAAATATTTAGATCGTTGGACAGAATGGTTCAAGGATCAGTCTCGCAATTCTGTATTAAACTCGATGTGACATGTCGTTAGAGCAATTAAATGTTTCTAGTCAATAAGTGAATTATAATCAAAGTCATTTGATTGTAATTAAAAACAATATTCTGTAGAGAGATAAGAAAATAAATATTTCCAGCATCTCGGGATTGTAAAATAATCAATAATCTATGTTCTGTGATAAAGTTACTTGTAAATGAAATAATAAAATTTATTGAACACCATTGGAACCTGTAATCCACTGCCACTGTCGATATTAGCAGATCAAGTACCGACTGTTGCGAGGGATACCGACACTTGATAACTGGAGGAGTTACCGACACTTAATAACTGGAGGGGTTACCGACACTT